CATTCTCCCGGCGCGCCTTCTCCATCGCAATGGAGTCCTGGCGCGCCCATTCTAGGACCGCGCCGTCGTCGTCGAACTCCGCCTTCACCGGCGCCAGCCCCGGCTCCGTCTTCACCGGCGCCAGCCCTGGCTCCATCTTTGGCTTGACGAAGCGCGGAGGAGCCGACGAGCAGGAGGCGCACCGGCCGCCCTCGTTGATAACGATGCCGCCGCTGCGAGTGCACCGACCGATTGGCGTCTCCGCCGCGGGCTCGGCCTTGACGCCGAGAAGCGCCGGAGAACCGGAGGAGTGGGAAAATGAGCGAGAGCAGGAAGACGAGGAGGAGGCGAACCTCCTTGGCGCCCATGCGCGTCGGTGTTGCGACGGGGCGGCCCCCGTCGCAGGATAGGTCAACGGCGGGTTGTTGCCGCCATCGAGGTACGCTAGCACGCCATCCAGCATGCGGCCGGGGACGCCCCACCACAGGTGGCGTCCCTCGTTGTTCTTCACGCCGCCGACCACCGGCGCGCCGTTCGTGGAGGCCAGACGCTGCTGCTGGCGGCGCTGGAAGTACGCCGCCCAAGCCGCGTGATTGCCGGCGGCGTACTGGGGGAGGGAGCGCTCGTCGTCGGTCAGGGAGGCGCGCGCGACCTCGACCTCCTCGGCGAAGTACCTGGGCTTCGCCACGTTGTCGGGTAACGGGGGAACGGGCACTCCCCCGTCGCTGAGCCGCCACCCCGTCGGCCCGGCGCGCATGTCCGGCGGCGCCGGGATGTTCGCCTGGAACAGGAGCCAGGACTCCTGTTCGCGGAGCGAACGGCGGCCGAAGCCGTTCGCCGCCGCCTCGTCTCCGGCGAAGCGCTCTGCCATGGCGACGGGCTCGGCGCTGGTAGAGAGGGAGAGAGAGGGGCTGCCGGTGGCGCTCGGGAGAGGAAGACGGAGACGGAGAGAGAGGGGCTGGGCGGCGGCGAGAGGCGAGTCTGGTGTGGGCACAGGCGAGAGACCGCCAGCTTTTATAGCCGCTCCGCGCCCGTGTGTACGCGTGCGAGGGAGGGGAGGCGTCGGCGCGCCGTCCCGTGACGCCGCCCGTGAGGAATCAACTGCAAGGCTGACCGGCGGCAGCCTTGCCATTGATTCCCCGTGGGAACCGAGGCAGTTGGGGGAAGACGAGCCGCCGTGTCCCTGACGCGGCTGGCCCGCGGCTTTTTCACGCCAAAACAGTTCGCCCTGGTGCCCCCGGGTGCCCCCCCAGCGCGCCGGGTTTGGCCTGGGTCCGCCGGCGCTGTTTTCGGCTCAGGCCGGCGAAAATCGGGCTCCTGGGGGCGCGACTGGGCCATTTTTTCGGCGCCGGCGCAAAAAAAACGCCTGGGGAGGCCTTCCTGGGGACGCGGCTGGAGATGCCCTAAGCTTTTGTGTTTGTTTCTGTCATGATCTTTTGATCATGCATCTACTAGCATATAGCATCTAGCATAGAGGTAGGCATACAACATCCCTGACACTTGCAGGATGATACGGGCACGACGGAGGAGGTGAAGCCCAATTTCAGGACTCCACCAAGCTAGGCGTGTCATTGTTATTTTTAATAATTAAATTTTTTTTAATAATTATGAGTTTTTGCTTGGTTTTGGGCCTGTCCAACCAAGTCAGGTCGAGGCCCATTAGGCTAGGCGCCTCACCCCTCCATATAAGGAGCTGGGGCGCATTGGGTTTAGGGAGTTGGAAATTTTAGTCTAAAACTATCGAGTTGTGTTTCTTCGGTGAAGCATCCCTCCGGGATCGGCGATGCCGTTTATCTAATAAAGATTGCTACGGAGGTTCTTGTGTTCATCAAGGATTATCGTGCTTTGGTTTGAGGCGTGGTGATCTTCATCACGTTGCTTGCTGGATTTGTTTCCTCATCTTCAGGTTACGTGGATTACTTCCGTGATTAAAAGTTTTTCTATTTGATTGTCTTGCGGTGAAAGATCGGGCAAAAACTATAGGATCATCACGTTGATCCTTATTATGTGGTATCAGATTACTGGGTTCCTCACCGCGAGTTCATCCTGTTGAGTCTGGTCTGCGGAGAGTTCTCGTGGATCACGGTGCAAATTGCTGTTCGGCGAGGAGATTAGTGGCGGCAAATTCGCGAGGGCCGAGCACGCTTGGATCTGTGTCTCGGCAGGGAGTTTGTCTTCCAGTCAAATCAAATTGAGGGCGTCCGTGCTATAAATTTTCCTTATGATCTCGGCGAGGTTTGGTCGCTCAGATAGGAAGGACGGCCCTGTTTTCGGCTGACTCCAGATTTTCAGGAAGCAGAGCGATTTGGTTGGTACGTGATGGTGTATTAGTTAGTTTTGGAGTTTTGCGATCAGCTTGCCGGATTTTTAAATTAGTTAAATCCTAATTAGTTAAGGCAGGAGAGAGAAGATTCTCTTGTTTCAGTCCGTTTAGGAAATCAACTCACGGTAGAGTCGGGCTTGTGGTAAAAAAAATCTGTGATTTTATTTTCTGTTGGCCGGATAGGGAAGATCCGAAGATGGCTTCGACATGGTTTTATTGACTTGACGAGAAGTCTAAGGCTCGGACTGAGATAGCTGATATACAAAAGATCATTAAAGAGAGGCGGGCGGAACTAAAAAAGCCTATTACAGTTTTTCCCGCGCATACTGTGCAGACTTCCGCGAAGGTAATTTCCAAGGACACATACGCGGTTCAGATAAATGATGTTAACAAGGAAGCAACAACACATACTGGTTCTAAGGAGGACAAGGCTGATGTTGACACGATTTTGGTGGACAATGTTGTACCATTGAGCGGGCTGAATATGCAACTCAAGAGGGTACATGTTGAAGCTTGCAAAACTGTTGACAAGGGTCAGCGGTGGAGTTTATTTCAGACTCAGTGTATGATTAAAGGACAAGCATGCAAGTTGATGATTGATGGTGGTAGCTGTACTAATGGCATAAGCAAGGCAATGGTGGCATCATTGGGGTTGTCCACATGGCGCATTGCTGAACCTAAGCATCTTGAGTGGTTGAATAGCTGCGGTATGCTGAAGGTTACTCATAAAGTGCGTGTGCCATTTACAGTTGATGACTATGTTGATGTGGTAGAATGTGATGTGTTGCCATTGGAGGTGTGTGGGTTGTTACTTGGACGTCCATGGCAGTATGATCGCAATGTCACACATGCTGGGAGAGCAAATACATATTCTTTTGTGCATGACGGCAAACAGCAGACTTTGAAGCCTACGAAGGATGATCAAATAAAGTTTGATGTGGAGCTAGTGATACACAAGGAGAGGTTGCGCAAGGCTAAGCCGCCAAGGTTAGCTAAGCTGCAACATGAGGAGCATGATGCACAGAGCGACATTGTTGATATTGCTTCAGCTCTACCTGTAGATAACAAGCCTGTTGTTCTTGTTAGTGACAAGCCAGTTGAAGTACAACCTCTTTCTGATGAGAGGAAGGATGTTGCAGCATGTGTTACAATTCCAATTTGTGTTGACACAGGTGTTCAGACTGATGATATTTGTGTTGATCATGTCCCAGTGCATGAGGTGCTTCGGGGCGACAAGCGCAGTTTTGTTAGCACACCTGTGAGGCGTTTTGTTGGAGCAGCAGTGCGGATGCACAAAGGCAAGGATGGACATGTTCGTCAGTTGTGTGGCCCACGCATTACTCATCTTTTGCAGGGTAGTGCAAAGCAGGTTCATGTTCAGAAACAAAGGGCTCCAGCAAAGGTGGACAAGAAGAAGGTGGTGGCGCCTATGCCCAGGCGTGTGTGGAGAAGAAAGTCACCCACAACTGAACCAAGTCGAGTAGACCAAGAGGGAGGATGTGGAGTGGTAGGCACGCGAGACTTGAAGATGGTGAAGACGCGTGATGCTTTTGTTGATATCACGCCATCCTTTCTAGCAGACCCCCGCGCGTTGAGGACAACGCTTTTTGAAGGGGAGGAGGATGATACGGGCACGACGGAGGAGGTGAAGCCCAATTTCAGGACTTCACCAAGCTAGGTGTGTCATTGTTATTTTTAATAATTTGATTTTTTTTAATAATTATGAGTTTTTGCTTGGTTTTGGGCCTGTCCAACCAAGTCAGGTCGAGGCCCATTAGGCTGGGCGCCTCACCCCACCATATAAGGAGCTGGGGCGCATTGGGTTTAGGAAGTTGGGAATTTTAGTCTAAAACTATCGAGTTGTGTTTCTTCGGTGAAGCATCCCTCCGGGATCGGCGATGCCGTTTATCTAATAAAGATTGCTACGGAGGTTCTTGTGTTCATTAAGGATTATCGTGCTCTGGTTTGAGGCGTGGTGATCTTCATCACGTTGCTTGCTGGACTTGTTTCCTCATCTTCAAGTTACGTGGATTACTTTCGTGATTAGAAGTTTTTCTATTTGATTGTTTTGCGGTGAAAGATCGGGCAAAAACTATAGGATCATCACGATTGATCCTTATTACAGGAGTAGGCATACCAACACGTACAACAACAAAAATTCAGAGAGAATGTTGCAGCAACCATCAATTATTTTTTCATGTCGGAGTGATCCAGCAGCAGGCCGTAACGGGTCGGGGGCGATTAGTTTAGGTGGGCAGGTGGAAATCACATCACGGGGGAAACCAAATTCGACCGAGAAACACCAGTTGAAATCAGTTTGATCATTTTTCCAACTCGATTCATCAGGACTAATCAAAACAGGTGTCAATCAAACATAGGACAGAAAATCGACTCAGACTGAATTCGGCTGGAATTTGGACACTCCCTAAAGTTTTTCCCATCGAAAAAGAAGCGCAGGCAGCGAGGGAAGGAAACGCGTTCCGCATGCAGCTCCGATAGAACGTCGGAATCCGAGTCTGGGTATGACCGCACGAGTGCCCAATTCGTATCTCAATTTTCTTCTGTATATAGTGAGCGAGCCCCCGTGCCCTCGTCGATTTTCTTCCCGCTGCCTCCTCCTCCATCTAGAATTTTAGATCCTGCGCGCTTCGCCGCTCCCCTGCCTCTGGAAGCTCTGTTGAGCCCGCGGATCGACCCGATGGCCGCCACCAAGCGATCTGCCGCCGCCGTCGACGGCCACGCCAACCGGCCGGGAGCAACCTGCGCCAAGAAGAGGCGCATCACCGGAACCACCGGGGACTACGATCACGAGTCCTGCCTGGGCGAGGGCATGTTCGGCGTCGTCGACAAAAGGCGGCACCGTGCCACCGGCCAAGTCGTCGCCATCAAGTCCTTCCGCGACCCGCGCAAGAAGGACGCGCCCGCCGACGCCCAGGAGGTGCTGCGGGAGGCCCGCTTCCTCGAGGCGTGCGGCGGCCACCCGCACATCGTCGGCTTCCGCGGCGTCGTGCGGGACTACGTCACCGACGAGCTCTGCCTCGTCATGGAGTACGTCCAAGGGCAGAGCCTCCACCGCCTCCTGACGGAGAGGCGCGGCCGCGGCGGGCTCCCGGAGGCCACGGTGCGGGGTTTCATGTGGCAGCTCCTCTCGGCGGCCACCGAGATGCACCGGCGCCACGTCGTCCACCGCGACATCAAGCCGGCCAACATAATCGTCGGAGAAGGGGAAGGGACGCTCAAGCTCTGCGACTTCGGGGTCGCCCTGTCCATGTCGGAGGCGCCGCCGTACCGGCCGGCCGGCACGGGCAAGTACCGAGCCCCCGAGCAGGGACGAATCCAAGGGGGGACGAGGGGGGGCTAGACCCCCCCTGACAAACTTGTTTCACCTCATTAGCGATTAGGCAGGCTGGTATTTAGGCAGTGTTTTGACTCGATTTTCCTCAATTCGCCCCCCCTGTCCGGCTGTCGCGCATAACCACGTGAAACCCCCAGGGCCGGCCTAGCCCATGTACACTACATAGCAGATCAAAACCAAGAAAAAAGAAAAGGCCCACCATCGAAGAGAAAAGGGGCCAGGGTCCATTGGTCGTGGGACTTGCGGCTGCAGCAGCACGTACACAACCGCTTTGATTCTCTGCTGTTGCGATCGTCACGATTTTAGCGCCGCCAATCTTCCTAACTGTCGTGCGATCCAATCTCCACCCACCGCTCGCCGTAGTAGAGCCTGCCGTCGCGGCCGGCAAAGCTGTCCGCCAAGGAGAGGAGCACGGCACCTGCACCTGCATGATCTTCAATTTGTTCAAATTTGTGTGGTTGTGCCATACAGAAACTACAAACATCAGAAATAAATTACAACATATTGGCTGCCCTTATATTTTTATACTCGTGTATAGATAAGACGAGGAAGAGAAACTGAAAAATGTTTGCCAAGAGCATTTGCGTCCAACTGTCCAACCCTATAGACCCCAATCGATCATTCCTGTCAGCCAGTAAGGAGATTATGAAAAGCACCACCACCATGAGCGACCACGGAGACGACGATGCACGCCATTCTCAATAGTTAACCTTAGCTTCAAATCTCTGTTTTTTGCTGGTTAATATGAAGATAATTAATTGATTGACATGAGAATCAGAGTTGGTCAATTCAACATAGTACCGTCGGCCAAATTATGTAATATAACTAATTTAGATACTTTTTTGTCAAAGATGAATACTTTCATAATAATTTTGTAGTCTTTAGCTGTTTACACTAACGAAAATACGAGTCCGGGATTATGTTTCTTTGCACACTTTAAAGTTCTGAGTGATCATCCGATGCCCATCAGTCTATAAGAGCTCTAGTCTGAAACTCGCCCCCCCTATGTCAAATTCCTGGCTCCGTCCCTGCCCCCGAGATGCTGCTAGGAAAGCGGGACTACGACGCCCTGGTGGACTCGTGGTCGCTTGGGTGCGTCATGGCGGAGACCATCTCCGGCGAGAGGCTGTTCGACGAGGACAACTCGACCTGCCTTCTCCGAAGGATCTTTGAAGTGGTCGGAATGCAGGACGACACAACCTGGCCGGGGTTCACGTCCCTGCCGTTCGCGGACGCGGTGCTGCCGCCACAGTTGCCGACGGTGCAGCGGAGCAGGCTGCGAGAGCTGTTCCCGGAGGATACGCTGTCCGAGGAGGGGTTTGAGGTCCTGAGCGGCCTGCTCGCCTGCAATCCCGACAAGCGGCTGACGGCGGCCGCCGCGCTCAAGTTGCCCTGGTTCGCCACCATGGCTGCGGACGCCCGTCCCCCCGCTTCTCCTCCTGCGGTCGCTGCGATGACGGTGTCCATCAAGGTGGAGGAAGTAGAGGTCGCTCCGACAGCGCTACGCAGAAAGAAAGTGACTGCAAAGAAATATCTGTCATTGTTTGTAACAAGATAGATTGTCTCAAGATAGATTGTCTACCTGGAATTTTTCTCTATTGTTCAGAGCGCATGTATACCAGTGCATCAACGCCTGATTTCCAAAATTCATTGCACGTGCGATTGGAAGCTTGAAAGCTAGCTTCCTGATTCCTTCCATTATCTTTCCACCAGACCTGGCGCCGTCGCCTCTAATCGTCGCTCGCCGTAGCCTGCCAGTCCGTGCAAGTCGCTTGAAATCGTTCGCCTTCCTGCCGTGCCAACTTTTTATATATTACTGAGGTTAATATTTTGAACATTTTCCAACTTATAAGAGCATCCGTTGTGCCGCCCAGGGACGTTTTTTCGTCCAGCTCGGGCTGGGCCGACGCAAGTTTTTGGCTTGGGGGGCAAATATTTCCAGCCGTGTCCACCCCAAGCACCTCTGCTCCTTGACGAGGAGGACGCGTGGCGGGCAAGGAGGAAGCGGCCGGGCGCCACCGCTCCTTGAGCTCGCCCCGCGGCGGCTCGGGCACGCCCAGGCCGGCACGCGACGAGCAGGGCGGCGACGGCGGCGCGCGGTGAGCAGAGGGCGGGTGGTGAGGAGGCAGAGGCCGGCGCGCGGCCAGGAGGCGGTCGCGACCAGCGGTGATGAGGAGGCAGAGGCCGGTTGCCGAAGACGTCGTGCGTCCGGAGTGTGGCATGCGGGCGCGGGCACCGGCCCCCTCGAGCAGCAGCGAGGTGAGCCGCGGTACGCGGGCGAGGCGAGCTCCCGCGGGATCCGGGAGGCCATGCTCAGTGGGTCCGCCTCGGCACGCGGCCTTGCTCACGGCGGCTGCGGCGCGCGTCGTCACCGACACCACCGGCTTCACCTCCTCCTCCTTCTCCTCCTCCTCCAGCACCGTCGCCATCTTCTTCGACCGAGTCCGCCTCGGCGCGCAGGCCTTGGTCACGGCGGCCGCAGCGCGCATGGTCATCGACACCACCGGCTTCACCACCTCCTCCTCCTTCGGCACCGTCTCCATCGGCATCGCCATGGCCGGCAGCACGGCCACATGCGCTTCACTTGCCTGCGTCGGCATCGGCGTCGGCGGCGGCGGGACGGTGAACGAAGCGAAGCTGGCAGCGGCCAAGGTCTGGCTCTACTCCACACTGATGCCGGTAGAGGAGGCCGTGGCAGAGGAGGTCGGGGACGGCTCCACGCACTCGCGCCTGGAAAGCGCGAGGAGGAGGAGCACGAAGCGGGGGCTGAAGAGGAGCGACCCGCAACGCGCAGAGCAGCGGCGGCCACAGAAGGCGCGCGGGAGAGGACCAAGAGAGGAGCGTGGTGAGGGCGATGAGCTCGCCGACCCGCAACATCCGGACTAGGAGGCGAAGCCGCAGCGCTGCTCCAATGGCGGCTATGGCGGACATGCCCGATGCTACTTCGGGTCTGGGGCGCGGTGAGAGCACGTGGCCACCAGCGAGGTTAGCCGCGGTACGCAGGACGGCGGGCATGCACTGCACGTGGTGGGCCTAACCAGAAAAAGAAAGGAGAGATAGAGAGATTAAAAGCTGGCAGTGGGCCTTTTGCTGCCAAAAAATATTGCCGGCGCCCCAGCTGCCCCCCGATTCCCTGGGTTTGCCTTGGGTGCGCCAGCCGTAGTTTTTGTTAAATCCAGCGCAAAACGAGCCTGTGGGGGTGTGATTGGAACACTTTTTTTAACGCCGGTGCCAAAAAAAGGCTCCTAGGGACGTCCCGGGGGCGCGGCTGAAGATGCTCTTATGTGTCAACAATGACAATTAAATATCTTTTAGAGTTTTGGATTAAAAAAACACATTTAGAAAAATTATTCATGTAATTCGGAAAGGTGTTTCACACATTTCGGAAAACAATTATGTAATTAAAAGGTGTTCACATATTCTGTAAAAAGAAGCCACTGCAATTTCCAAAAGTGTTCTCTCATTGAAATGAATGTTCATGTAATTTAAAGAAGTGTTTGTGGGGGTTTAAACTGAAGTTTTAAAACATAAAAATAGGATAACAGAGAGTAAAATAGATCAAAGAAGAAAGATTATAATGTAAACAAAATAGAAAAATAAATTATCAAAACAAAAAGGAAAAAGGGAAAAACATGAATGAAAAATCTAAACCCAAATAGAAATATGGTTTCCTAAAAAACCCAACAAAGAAGCAGGAACAGTTACCCAAAAAAAGAAGAAGAAACCACTCATACCGCACTACGATACTAGGTTAGCCCATTATGTGTTGGGGATCGTAGCAGAAATTTAAAATTTTCTACGCATCATCAAGATCAATCTATAGAGTAATCTAGCAACCAGGGGAAGGGGAGTGCATCTACATACCCTTGTAGATCGCTAAGCGGAAGCGTTGCAAGAACGCGGATGAAGGAGTCATACTCGTAGCGATTCAGATCGCGGTTGATTCTGATCTAAGCGTCGAACCACGGCGCCTCCACGTTCAACACACGTACGGAACGGAGACGTCTCCCACGCCTTGATCCAGCAAAGAGGAGGGAGAGGTTGAGAAAGAGAGTCCAACAGTAGCACGATGGCGTGGTGGTGATGGAGTGGCAGTTCTCCGGCAGGGCTTCGCCAAGCTCACGCGGAGGAGGAGAGGTATTGGAGGGGAGGGGCTGCGCCAGGTTCAAGGGTGTGGCCGCCCTCCCACCCCTCCACTATTTATAGGTGGGGAGAGAGGGGGCCGGCCCCCCTAGATCCTATCTAGGGTTGGGGGCGGCGGCCAAGGGCGGAGGAGTGCCTCCCAAGTCAAGTGGAGGCCCTCCCCCTTAGGGTTTCCCCTCTCCCATGCGCATGGGCCTTGGGGGGCTGGTGCCCTCGACCCATTAAGGTTAGGGCGCCCCCCTACAACTCATGCTGCTGTATTGGATGTGGTGGAACATTTTTCGAACCTCCGGAATCCTCCGGAACCTTCCGGAAGCTTCCCGGTACAATACCGGAAAAAACTGAACTTTTCCCGGAACCCGAACAACAACTTTCCATATATAAATCTTTACCTCCGGACCATTCCGGAACTCCTCGTGATGTCCGGGATCTCATCCGGGACTCCGAACAACATTAGGTAATCACATACAAGTCTTCCTAATAACCCTAGCGTCATTGAATCTTAAGTGTGTAGACCCTACGGGTTCGGAAACCATGCAGACATGACCGAGACAACTCTCCGGCCAATAACCAACAACGGGATCTGGATACCCATGTTGGCTCCCACATGTTCCACGATGATCTCATTGGATGAACCACGATGTCGAGGATTCAATCAATCCCGTATTCAGTTCTCTTTGTCTATCGATATGATACTTGCCCGAGATTCGATCGTCGGTATCCCGATACCTTGTTCAATCTCGTTACCGGCAAGTCTCTTTACTCGTTCCGTAACACATCATCCCGTGATCAACTCCTTGATCACATTGTGCACATTATTATGATGTCCTACTGAGTGGGCCCAGAGATACCTCTCCGTTACATGGAGTGACAAATCTCAGTCTCGATTCGTGCCAACCCAACAGACACTTTCGGAGATACCTGTAATGTACCTTTATAGCCACCCAGTTATGTTGTGACGTTTGGCACACCCAAAGCACTCTTACGGTATCCGGGAGTTGCACAATCTCATGGTCTAAGGAAATGATACTTGACATTACAAAAGCTTTAGCAAACGAACTACATGATCTTGTGCTAGGCTTAGGATTGGGTCTTGTCCATCACATCATTCTCCTAATGATGTGATACCGTTATCAATGACATCCAATATCCATGGTCAGGAAACCGTAACCATCTATTGATCAATGAGCTAGTCAACTAGAGGCTTACTAGGGACATGGTGTTGTCTATGTATCCACACATGTATATGAGTTTCCTATCAATACAATTCTAGCATGGATAATAAACGATTATCATGAACAAGAAAATATAATAATAACCAATTTATTATTGCCTTTAGGGCATATTTCCAACATTATGTACTCCCTCCGTCCCAAAATTCTTATCTTAAATTTGTCTAAATACGGATGTATCTAGTTATATTTTAATGTTAGATACATCCGTTCTAAACAAATGTAAGACAAGAATTTTGGGACGGAGGGAATAATACCCTATAGTCGGTGCGTATAAGCGGCCAATAAGCCGCTCGCTACGTATAAAGACGGAATGGCCCTTAGAGCATCTCCAGCCGTTGCGCCCCCAAGACGCGCCGAAAATCGCCTTTTGGGGGCGAGCCGACGGTTTTTCGGCGTGGAGGCGAATACGTCCCCAGCCGCCGGGCCCCAGATGTCCCCACAGTTCGGCCAAATTTCAGCAAACACAACATATTTAGGCCAAATTTCAACAAACATGACATATTTCGGCGAAATTTAGACGTTTTTTACACGAATAAAATGCACGAAAACCCCCTAAACTACGGGCCGAAGTAGGCGCTGAGCAGGGCGTAGTCGTCGCCGGCGTCGTCCTCCTGCTTCTCCTCCTTGACATGGCCGGCGCCGCTGCTCGACCCCTCGCCCCGGCGCGCTGCTTCACGGCGGTGGCGTTCGGCGATCTCCTTCAGGGCGCGGCGCTGGGGGTCCAGCTCCATGCGCGCGTAGTCCTCGCGCGCCCACTGCAAGGCGGCCTCTTCTTGGTCGGCCTCCTCGGCGAGAGCAGGCTCCGGCTTCACGACAGCGAGCCCCGGCTCCGGCTTCACCGTCGCCAGCCCTGGCTCCCTTTTCGGCTTGACCAGGCGAGGAGTGGCCGAGGAGGAGGAGCCACGGCCGCCGTCGTTGATGACGAGGCCGGCGCCACGGGTGCGCCTACCGAGCGGCATCTCGGACGGCTCTGGCTTGACGCTGACAAACGCCGGCGCGTCGGAGGAGTGAGAGGAGGATCGGGAGGAGGAGGAAGAGGAGGATGACCATCCCATCATCCTCCTCGGCAGCCAGCGCCGCCGCTCCGAGTGGTCGGGTACTCGAACAGCGGATCGTTGCCGCCATCGAGGTGCGCGAGGACGCCGCTGAGCGTGCGGCCCGGGACGCCCCACCACAGGCG